GGTGGCATATAAAAACAAGAGCTGTCATGAAAAGTATGAAAAATGACCCATGCCCCCGAAAGGAAGCTTTGACATTTCAGTGGGGATGGTACTGATCACTCCTGAGAAGTTTCACTGAATTTCACAGTTTTGGAGATAAAACAAGCACGGACAAAATGTTTCTATTTATAGCTCTTGCCACCATTTTGTGCATTTGAGTGGAACGTGCCAGCGATATGCACAACTAGGGATTGTACTGATCACTTCTGTGAAGTTTCACTGAATTTCCCCCAGAAGTTTTGGAAAGGAAGCGCGACAAGATTACCGGATGGAAGGACAGACAGAACGATTACTGTATGCAGCCCTTATGGCGCATAAAAAATTTAAAGTATAGGTTATTCAATTGAATGAGCAGGCTCTACACTTTATCCCATTAAAAATACTGAAATATTTTTTTCTGCCCTAAGTAGATCACAAAATGTCCTACAGTATAGGAGAAATACTGATGGTAAAAGACCGAGTCTAAATGGCAGAAACAAAAGAAAACCCTACCATAAACAATATCTTGCTGTACTTTTGATTGACTTTGGAAAATGATAACTTTGGAACATGATCAGCTTGACTTTGACAAGATATGCAAGATATTTTTGGAAAGGTATGACCACAATAATGTCCTGTGAAGGCTGTTTTGAATGGTGAATAGCACATAGTACACATCTATTCTTGGAAACAGCTATGTTTGGAAAGAGGATGGTAAATCATGTTGTTTACTGAAGTTACTTCCTGCTTGTGGTATAAAAATAAGCATGATATTGATGTCATTGTACAATGTGGCATTATACATTTATTTCAAGACAGCAATTAGTTTAAAACAGAACAACTTAAAAACAAAAGACAAGGCTCTAGGTTATAGTATAACAAAGGTTAACGATACATCCACAGGCAAAACAATATACCCAAAATTCTGGCATCATATTTATTTGTATTTATACTTAATGTCTACGTTTTGAATATTATTAAGTTAGAAGTTTACTGAATGGTTGATAAAACCCAAAATTTAGTATCATTTCAATGGCATAATATAATTATACTTTTTTAATTGGGAAGAAGGGGTTGGGGGCATTGGATGGTGACAATTTTCAACACCAAAATTCATAAATTGAGTGTCCTAACTACACTCAAAAGGATTAGATGTAAAAAATCACATGACAGTAAAATACAAATATTACTATACAAATGTATTAAATACAAATATACAAATATAAATATAATTATATAATATACAAATATAAAAATATACAAAATAAAAACATAAATATATTAAATATAGAATACAAATATAAAATACAAGTATATAAAATATAAAATACAAGCATAAAATATAACATAAATAAAACATAAATATATAAAATACAAATAAAAAATACAGATATAAATTTCTAAAATACAAATATAAATATAATTATATAATATACAAATATAAAAATATACAAAATAAAAACATAAATATATTAAATATAGAATACAAATATAAAATACAAGTATATAAAATATAAAATACAAGCATAAAATATAACATAAATAAAACATAAATATATAAAATACAAATAAAAAATACAGATATAAATTTCTAAAATACAAATATAAAATACAAACATAATAAATAAATCAAATAGAATTATAAAATACATGTCAGATATAAATTTCTAAAATGCAAATATAAAATACAAACATAATAAATATATAAAATACAAATATAAATTTCTAAAATACAAACATATAATACAAACATAATAATTATATAAAATACAAATATAAAATACAAATCAGTTTTGAGCAATGCTAGAGTATGAATTAGCAGTATGTTATATCACACTATCCTATCTCACACAAGAGATACATATGATAACATAATTAACAACCTATTATAATATCATCACACTTTATAAAGACAAGATACAGATTGTTATTGCCACAAAACCAAGTTTCAAACTATTTCACAATATAATAACAATAGAATAGAGAAAACAGAATCCCTTATATATGCCCAAAACTGTTGCAGGCTGGGGTCATGTACAGTAACGGAAAGTGCAAAAAATATGATAAACAAGATCATCAAGGAAAGGCGGAATTCAATGAATGCAAGATACTGTCCACGCCCATTAGCATCGGCCTTTGGTCACAATATGAGAATTCTGAGAGGGAATGAAAGTTCTGTAAAATTTAAGTTAAAATCCTTTGAGATATAATTATAGAAAAAGTTCCAAACAGAAGTCAATGTCAACAAGAAAGCATAATAATTTGCCAAAAAACTATAAACTCAATCCCCGCAATATGAGCCATGGTTCTTGAAGAGAATAATATGAGCCGCGTCACGACAAAACCAACGTAATGCCTTTGCGACCAGCATGGATCCAGACCAGCCTGCACATCTGCGCAGTCTGATCAGGATCCATGCTGTCAATGCTTACAAACCTTATTACAAGTAGAGAAACTGATTGCGAAGCTGCAGATGCGCAGGCTGGTCTGGATCCATGCTGGTAGAAAATGCACTATGTTGGTTTTGTTGTGACGTGGCTCAATTATAGTTCTGTAAGAATTTGGTTTAAATCTGTGAGAATTTGGTTCAAATCCCTAAAAAAAATACCAAAGAAGACTTTCTTTCCCCTTCCCTCACCTCACAGTATATATATAACAACATCAACAAACTGCTATAATTTTGCTTGATCTAAAATGAGAAATCACTTGATACATAATCTTAGCTGTAAAACAAAAATTTGATACAGAATAGCTGAATGACAAATGACTTTTATAACAATCAGACAAAATGATTTGCATAAATGCAGACATTCATCCCACAAGATTTATATCTTTATATATATAAATATATTTAACACACACACACAAAGGAGGATTGGAAAGAAAATCCTTGAAATTATATTATAGTTTTTTCATATCAACCCCTAAATCTGCTGAATGTTTTTGAAATGGGCTTGCCCTGCTTTAAATTTGGAACAGTCCATTTGAGTTTAAAGGGATTTTCATAATAAAATATTACAACAGCTGTAGTAAACTATTGTAAGTACCAGAAAGTGAAATAACAACAGGTCTTAAAATGTTCTACTTGATAGAGTTAACACAGGCCATAGGTGTTTCAAGGCTATACTATAAAAGGTCCACTGAATAATGCAAGTGAAGTAAAACATATACTATGTTGGGATTAAAGACAGGGTGTGTAATTAAAATTCAAAGAAATACCTTATATTATTGGTATCTGAAACAGTGGCATGAAACTTAACCAAAATTTAACAGACCATGTTAAGCTTTGACCTTCAAGTGTGACCTTGCCTTTGGAGGTAGAGGTCTGGGTGTTGCACCTGACACATCATCTGATTATTTGTGCCAAGTGTTTTCAAAATCTCTTGATTGATGAGAAAGTTATGGACTAGAAACAACATATACCCTCCAAAAGCCAATGTTGCCCTAAAAATTCACCAAGTGTGACCATGACCTTGGAGGTAGGAATCTGGGTTTTTGCATGACATGTTGTCTTATACTTGAGACTGACAGACAGACAGATGGAGTCCATATCTATATCCTCTTTTTTCTTTGAAATTAGGTGGGTGACAAAAAGGAGCATAATTTTGTCAAAACCCATGACAGAGTTATATCTCTTGCCTGGAATTATGACTGATGGTAACTTAACAAGTACTCATAGATTTTAAAGTATTAACTTAAAGGGTATAGTTAAACAGAAAGGAGATATAAATGCACAGTTGTGCAGACTGGTCTGGTGCTAGTCAGATGGTAAAGGCTAATGTTAAGGGCACCTTTTTTGTGGTCAGAAGAACAGAACAGTTCAGGTGAGCTGTTATAACAATATTGCTGGTCTGTTGTTGTTTTTGTTTTTAAATCTGCCCTTAACAATAATGGGCATGTGTTTTAGATATACGAACATGCAGTTTGACCAGAATTTATACTGTTGGCTGATAACTTTAAATGACATGTTGATATCCCTAAAATTGATAATTGGCTGCTCCAAAATAAAAGGTGGACAAGTCCATTTAAGAAATTTAGTATGTTAAGGGATGAGTCAAGAGTATAAATATTTTGTTTGATATTCTCTTCTAAAATGGAGGGGAAAATAAAATTTGAGAATATCTATTACACAAGCTGCATTTCTCAAAAACCCGAATGCTACAAAAATATATAAAATACACTCTTGTGATTTGAATTGCTAAAAGCAACATTAATGGTAGAAACTTTTATTTATTCTCTTGTTTTATAGCTGTAAGGAAACCTGATAGTTTTACATATAGAACTATTATTCAAATGACACCATCTGCTTGGTGAAAATGAGCCACAGGAAACATGTAAATTTAATTTAAAGCTGTTAACAATAAATACATGAAAGAATGTACATATCAACACAATTAACAGTTTAAATGGAATTTTTCCGTAAAAAAAGTGATGGTACATTTATTTTATTGTTCAGATCACATTTTTCAAAAGGAGAGACCATTAGTTTATTCTAAAAGTACAAAAAATTCCAAATAATTTAATTATCAGACAGCTGTCCTGTGCATGTATGTTTATCATAAGCCTCTGGCTTTTGAATGTACATGTAACATTAATGAATGCTGTCTCTTGCAAGTCATAAAAGTGAAATACAAACCGATGTGCCTGTTACATGACTTCAAGTGAAATGACTCCAGATTAGTAAAATAAATCTTCAAACAAGATAACCACATGCTGTGTCAATGCTGGTATGCTTATGCAAAGGGCAATAACTGAGAGAAAATTTAATTCAAAAGTGTTATCTTTACACAACTTTAACTTTTGTCATAAACAATTAATTACATTCTATAATCTTCAAAGCTTTCATACTTGAATCCTTCATTATATATTTTGACATACTAAAATATGACCTTGACCCCAAAATTTTGACATACTGAAAAAAATACAACCTTGACCCCAAAATGTCATTTTTTGAGACAGAAACTGACCAATCAAGTTAACTAATAAGGTTTGCTTTATTTTACTCATACCTGTGACTTTGCAAATTCGACGACATTAAAGCTGACATTGTTTAACAATGCAAGTGAGTAAGTTGTCAGTCCAGACTCTGTACTTCTCCACATCTGATCCTGTAACAGAACAACAAAAACTTACATTAACAATATAAATGTATATAACTTTTACATCTCACCAAAAAGTGTGATTTTTTATCTTTTTTATCTGACCTTGGAACTCTGCACGTGACCATGACCTTGGCTACAAGACCTTAATTTTGTGCGCAATTTAAGTTACATATATTATAATTCCTCATTTCATAATATGCAAGTGTTTTTATCTGACCTCTAAGTGTAACCTTGGGCTTTAACCTAGAGATCTGGTTCATGCCCCCAGCACAAGGTCACATTATTGTTGTGTTTGTGGTACTTTTAGTTTTTTCTTTTTGGCTTTTTCTTATTGGGTGGTTCCAGTATTCCTTACTTTATTACTGTAAAATCACCAAATTAAAAGCTTAAGAAAAATAAAAGCAATAGCACTTTTGACGCTTTATGGACATTTTAGTTGTTGACAGTTTAAGCAAAGACTTTAACCATGTATTACATAAATGCATAGGTGTTTAACATAACTCTAAAGTAAAGTATAAAACACTTTATGTTTGAAAACAAAGATAACTTCTACCAAATTCCATAAACAATGTCCTGAAAAAACATAACAACAACAACAATAGCACAAAGATATGCAACGATAGCACACAGATATGCCTACAGAGTTGAAACATCTGTGTCAATTGCTCAAGATGGGAAACTATTCAATCTTCTGTAAATTACTGTTTTGTGTGTTTTGAAGATATAAAACTTTATATATGCTTAAAAAAAAACATATTTATGTGTCTGGAAAAACATTGCATACAAAACACCAGCTTCAGTTTCATGCATAAATCCATATTAAGTGAATTTGAGTAAACAAGGAGCATTCTGTTTATTATATGTATTTGCAGATCTTGCTTTTACACTTGCCAAAATACACAAACTCAGGATATATCTTCCAACATTAAGGTAATTTATACATGAACAGCTTAACATAATGTACATCATGGCTCTGTCTGCCTTCTGAGCACAATCAGGAGAGAACTGGATTAGTAATCAAGGGTTACTGGTTTGATCCTTGAGCATTAGGTTATGTATGTATATATATATATAAGGATCTTACACTGGCTGCCAGCACAGACCGGAATATCCACCTCGAGTGTAACTGTTTACCACCGAAACGATGCACAGCTCTGCCGAGTTTCTGCTAAACAGTTACCCGAGGGCTAGATATGTCTGTGACTACTGTGAGCCAGTGTTTGGTTCTTTTTCTTGCACATGACTGTGTAAACAGCAGATGATCTTGTCTGATATGCAAGAAATTAATTGTAGTCTCTATTTATTCATATATTACATAATATTAAGGGTGTAACGGTTTACCGGTATACCGATATATTGCAATATGAAAAAATAAATTTCGTACCACGGTACGATTTTTGGAAAACCGGTATTTTATAAAAATCATAATTTTCAATTAATTGCCTTCCAATTTTGTACAAATTTCACATAAAATCTTTAATTGGCGAATTTTATTGGCACCAACGTAAGGTAAAAGTATCCGACAACTAGTACACTTAAAAATCAATAAGCGGCCGCATAATTTACATAAGCGGCCCAGATGTGAAAGGTCACATGTGACTAGTTTTGTTTATCAAATTGTGTGACACTTTACTTTCTATTTATTCCTTACATTTATATTAAGTTTCTACTAAAAATATATACATATAATAATAATATATAATGTTACTCCATCTTAAAAGACTTTATATCAAAACATATACACAACAATACGTATTGCAATATATTGCAATACGCTTCAGCAAAATGGCAATATATTGCAATACGGTTTTTGCCGTATTGTTACACCCCTACATAATATATTATAAATTTATTATATATACTTTTTCCTTACTGTTGGTTACGAACCCAAGACTTGTCACCCTTCATGCCCTTAAAGATTTTATATTGAAGCACAAAGTGGTCCATGCAATTTTCAGGGAGTATTAGCAAAATATATGAATTTTGATCTAAAAGATGATTACTGTGCGGCGGCCAATAAGAACCTGAATGTTTTGAGCAAGGTGAAATTTCTCTGTGAAAATATATCAGACACTAAGTCTTAAATTCATTTGTCTCTATCAGCTGATTTAGAAATCATAATTATGGATTAGTAGTTAGTGACTTGCAGTGAAATTGGTAATTGTAACTGATTACTTCTCCAGGAAAACTGGTGAGACACACTGACCTTTTTGATATACTGGTGATCAAAAATGTGTCCATAAAAATGGCATAAAAAAAAACCCAAACAAATAGACAAACAAACTAATACACAGTATATCTCACAGTACTTCTCAGTATTTGATATTTATTTCAAAACCATTGTATTTTGCTACTTCATGTTATAAATGGAGTTGAAGATGTTTGGGGTTTTTTTATATGACTAAGAAAGCTGAAAAAATATTAAATTTTCAATGACTCATCATAAATGAATCACCTTAAAGATGACAAACATATTTTGTCTCATTTTTATTTACCATTACTATACCATTATCTTCACCAAAAGAAATGTATCAATCTTTTCATCCTTAGTCATTGCAAATTTGCAAATTGAATTCTCAACAATAGATTCATCCTTTAAAAGGAATCAGTACTACAAATTGCCCTTTAACATTACAACTTCATAAACAATACGTCATTTAAATCAACTTCAAACTGCGAACAAATATGTACAAAAATAACAACTTCTTTACATAAGAAACAGCCTTGCTCAGTACTCTTGCATTGAACATAAAATGTGTGCTGTGTACTTCAAGTGTACTCTATCAACTACCTTATATACGTATGCAGTTATACATTTGTAGTACACTCTTCAAAATGCAAATGAGCTGTGCCTTGTACAATCTGCTGCAAACAACTAGTACACAGCATGTACACAGGAGGAACAAAAATGTTACAAATACACCAGAGAAATAATACACAGAATGTACACAACAATGCATTTTGCAAATGAAACTGTGGAGAAAAAACATGTTTAAGTGTGTGTGAATTCTAAGGCTTAATGAGAGTCAATCCTCCCTTTCAGGCAATAAGAGTACAGACACCCGGAACATGTCACCATTCATGTCCTTATTAAAGGATATTAATAATCTGCCAAAAGGAGTTTGAACAGGTCTGCTGTGTTTACATAGCATACAGTTTGAACTCAAGAGAACTACCATTTGAGCTGCCCCAAAAACTCCAAAATTATGTAAGAGACTTATTGTTCCAACTTGGTTTTATATAGTCCCTATCCTAGTTTCCATGCTATGCTGGTAAATAATAATTCTTTTTTAACTTTTAATTGGTGCAATTTGAACTGAAACTGAAATACCAGCCTAGGTTAAGTAAAACTTAAGCTAACAAAAAACTTCTCATGTAGTAACTTTAGCAAAAACCAAAGTGAAGTTAAAGAAAACTTACTTTGTCTTTTTTTTCAATAAAGTTAATTTTTTAAATAAAGTTTTAAAAAAAATGATCCATAATTTTAAAAAAAAAAAAAAAAAAATCTACATTTTCTTAAATCTATAAATATTTATTCACTTTTTGATTTATTTGCCTTGCTTTTCATCTAAATCATGCTCATGAATCTTTAATAGCGGAGCTGGCTAGACAGAAAGGACAGCGGGCTGCCATTCAGAAATGACAAAAAATATATCAATAAATTAAGACAAACGAGTATTATAAAGCTGCCATCATTTGCTGCAGATTAATTCAACCTTTTCTTTCTTCAAGATGATTATCTTTTCAACCTACACACTATTAAAGATGTAGCTTCTCACATATCATGAGATCTCAAACTTTGTCGTCAATTTTCCTTGAAACAAAATCAGACAAAATATCAATCAATATTAACAAACTTTTCATATTTTGATAAAAAAAAACAATATCAATTGACTTGATTTGTACAATTTAATTGCTCTACTTAGACCATTTTCTTAATCTAAGGTATTAGACCCCAAATTTGAATTTTTAGTAATTTCAAGTTATTACAAAGGACAATTAAGAAGGAAAATTTAAACTCTCGGTGAGAATTCTCTTAAATTTTGCATAATCTTAACCAAATCAAATTGATGAAAACAAATTTTGGGTCATTTTCAAGGGTAAATAACTCATTACTGTGGACAACAAGTCATCTCATTTGATTAAATTTGGGATTTAGCTGACATTGTGTGTGACAGTGTTAGAGCAATGCCTCTAGATGCTTGCCGAAATCATGATCAAAAAGCAGAAAAACATCTCTTGTTATATATTATATATATCTCTCTTTTTATATATATGTAAGGAAACTCATGTTATCTGTTTCAGAAAAATGCTAACATTTGCTGGCATCTTCAGAACGGGAGTGAAAAAATCTGCACTGACAGTTAAATACTGTTTGTTAACTTTATCAGTCTGAAAAATAAACATTTAGTTGCAGAAAATTATTTCAGTTTCAAAAATAAGGTACAATGTATTTACAAGAAAGTTGTCAAAATCAGAAGTATTTTTAGAAATTTATGCAGTTCACTTTATTCAAAATTTATGCATATTGGCCACCCTATCATAGACAGTGAGTTTAGTCAATACCTCATATAAAGTGTTTTTCATCGATCAATCATTCTATTAAATTAGAAAGCAAGAACAAATCACTTCATACTTAAAAACATACTATCTAATTTTTGCTAGTTTTAATTAACTGTCAATAATTCATTAATATTTAATCCAGCATCCCGAAATGTGTCTACGACATACAAAAACCAGTTCATTAAGTACACAATGTATGTGACTCCAGGGACCTAATGCCATCATTTATACAAAGTGCAACATTAATCAAAGGGCTGCAAGCTCTGTGGTATTTTCTGATCTTTGCAATCTAAATCATACTGACTATCTGTATGTATTTTCCTATATAAGTTTATTTTTATACACTATAATTCATCTTACGCAGCGACTGCGTTAAGATTTTTTTTCTATAACAGTTTGAGATTGATACATATGGAATTTTGCATGACTAGAGTTGCATTTTA